ATCCTTGTCCTCGGGGACAAATTGAGGAAACTGATATTTTAAGGTATGAGCATCCATCCAAGTGTTGCCTTCAGTAGGACAATTGAACTATTTTACCAAGTATTGAGTAAGCTGCATGTTGTGCTTAGATATCACCCTGGCCTCGAGAATCCTCTCATGATCCAATACAATGTGATTATGAGAAAAGAGAGAGTGAGAGAGTGTGAGAGAGAGAGAGAGAGAAAGAGAGAGAGAGAGAGAGAGAGAGAGAGATTGGTAAGTCGGAGATCACTGGTTGGAGCCAACATGTTTCTTACACTGAGAAACATGGAATGTAGAGTGTATTTTAGCATGGGGAGGTAGTTGGAGTTGGTAGGCAACAGATCCAATTCTCTTAAGCACCCGAAATGAAGCAAAATGCTTAGGACTGAGCTTGTGATATGAGTGTCCTTTGAGGGACATTTGTATGTAAGGTTGTAGCCTTACAAAGACCATATCTCCCACTGCAAATTCCCTGAAAGATCTCATTTTATCTGCCAAAGCTTTCATTTTGGATGGAAAAGGCGGTGCTTCAGTAACCTGATGGTTCCTTCTCTAGCTTGTAAACTCCTGTCAACCTCATCCACCATGGAGCTGTAAGGGATGTAAGGCATGTGGGGGTGGCTTCTGACCATAGATCACTTCAAAAGGGGTCAGCTTGGTGGTGGAATGATAGGTAGTGTTATACCACCACTCGGCTAAAGGCAACCAGTGAGCCCAATCTTTGGGTCTATATGTGCACATACATCTAAGGTAATTCTCTAGACAATTGTTGGCAGCTTCAGTTTAGCCATCGGATTGTGGGTGATGACGAGCACAAAATACACTCTTAAATTATTCTCGCCAATGAAAGATAGTATAGTATAATATCGTATCCACAAGGATTGGATTAAACAGCATTCTCGTAGTTTCTAGCTTGATTGCTATCCAAGAGGATCAACAGTTTAGATTTATATGATTAATAATTAAATTAACTAAGAATCTAAAGCTATTGACTAGTGACTATCGAGACAAGGAATAAGCAAATAAGGTTATCAAAGGAAGAAGATAGGGTTTTGACATGATAGGTGCAAGATAATTGTTCGGGCTCTAATCTAGATAATTCCCTTCTAATGTTCAAGTGAGTCTCTCGAATTCACTCAATTATTAGTTCAAACGTTCAGCAGAAAGTCCGCTCTCAATTAAGTCTCAACCTCACGAGATGAACCAAATTAAACACTGTGAAGATATGCAAGAATGCATAGTGGATTGGTTCTTAGGAAAACCTCTTTCGATTATTCTCCTAACTAGGTTTAATCAATGATTCAACTAGCCTCTTTCGATTATTTAGAAGAATCTATGAACTCAACCAACAATATAATGCAAAGATATCACAAGTTATCACTCTCTCAATTACATAAACTAGTGAATATAGATGCAATAATTAAATCTTCCAAAATGATTCAATACATAAAACTAGAGTTATAATCCACAAACAATCATCAATATAATAAATCCATCAAACCCTAAAGGGAACTACTCCATAGACATGGAGAAATTCATTACAAATATAACTAAAGTATAAGAAAACATAGATTTGATCCAAACTCGGGTCTTGAGTGAGGAAGGAATGATGAAATCCTTGTGCTTGTGTTCTTCAAACTCCTCCTTAGCTTTCTTAGGTTGAAAGTATGTCAAAAGTCCCATAAAAAACGTGTTTTCAGTGTATTTATACCAAGTAGGAATGAACCCGGACGAAACTACCCTCTTTGTGCCGAAGTGGAAAAACCTACAAACTTTTTACACTTCATGCGTCGCACTTGTCACACCTCCGTTTTCTACCACCCAAAAGGGTATAGGGAGTTTTTTAATTAAAGTGACAAAACCGAAACGGGATTATTTTTTCAAATTCAGAGTCGCCACTTGGGATAATTAATGGTGTCCCAAGTCACCGGTTTAAAATCCCGAATCGAGGAAGTTTGACTCTGTTTTACAGTCCATGAAACACAGAAATCCGGGTAAGGAATTCTGTTAACCCGGGAGAAGGTGTTCGGCATTCCCGGGTTTCGTAGTTTTAGCACGGTCGCTCAACTATTATTGTTGGCCTAATTATCTTATTAATTACATACTTTTTACCTATTGTGAATTTTTAAACTTTGACCACTTTTAATTATTTATGGAATATTCTGGAATAAGTTACGATTATCGTACACTTGTTTGTTTGGTACACATTGCGGATCGTGTCACGGGAATCGTATCCACGATCTACAACATGTTTAATTTTATTAATATTATTAGTTGTTGTGGCCGTGTCACATAAATGTACCCCCGAATTTGGAAGTTATGTATCACAACTACGTCACGGGAACCGTATCCGTAGCTATGATATTTTGTTATAGCGCGCCTATAGCAAACTACAAATTTTTGTGTTTAATCTAAGTAAGAAATTTAAAAGGGCTACTAATTGAAAGTCTGTTTTGGAAGATAAATTAAGTCTTTAAGTATTTAAGAAGAAATGGGCCAGCATTAGGCCCAAATGTATTATCTAAAAGTCTTTTAAAGGGAAATAAGAAAAACTGGGCTCGAAATCGAGCCTAGGAATGAGGACAAACGCAAGCGGCGATAACAGCTTCGAGTGGGCCAAGTACCAGGCCCAACTTTGTACGGATATGCCTTCAGTACTAGAAGTCCATTTTTATTACACTAAACAGAAAATTTGATGGATAAAATTGCTGAAGAAAATTGGGCTCGAAGTTGAGCCCAAGAACGGAAAGCTAGTAACGTTCAAACACCCCAGATCAGAATTCGACCAGGCTGCCTCGTCTGGGCCATTGTCAAGCCCAATTGAGACTCAAATTCTTTTGAATCAAATGTGACCCAACAACATTTAAAAATTCAACAAAATCAAAAGCTAATCATACATATCATGAGTTTAATTATTAACATGCTGCAAACACTAACAATAAGAGACTACACCTTAAACCCATTCATGAATCACCCTAAACTTAAATACATATTGCTTTAACAAAATTGGAATTTGAGATAATTTAACTGAATGCTCGGCAATCAAATACTGTCCCTTGCAATACCTATCCAACCTTCCCTAATGAAAATCCAACGAATCATTATGGCTATTAAGTATCCTAACACTGTCAAACAGTATATGGAGCAGCTAAAATAGTCTGACTATTCACTCAACTATAGAATAAAACATCAGATTCAGAATGCTTGAGCAAATCAAAATAAAAATACTAAACTAAGTGACTTGCAGCATCATACATGAGGATATCTGGAAATTATCATTTGGATAAACCAATTTCTTATTACAACAAGGACTAAACATATGCTTTAAACTTCATTTGCCACTCAAAGGTTCAAGAGTACCTGAATATCAAGAATAAAGCAAAAATGAAGTAAGGATTTCAGCAAAGCAAAGGAGTAAGGATGGTAGCAAATAACAGCAATACACAGCTTCGACTAAATCCATATTCAAGCCCAGGAAACCAGAAATCCAGCGAAGGTCTTTCTAAGTTCTTGCTAAAGGAAAATCAGAAGAAATCAAGCCAACTCCCAATGAAACAGTGCAGAAACCTTTTGAGTCTTTTTTAGGGTTCGAAAAATCTCTGCTCTTAATGAGTGAAGAAAGGCTCTATTTTATAGGCATCTAAAATGCCATGTGCTGAAACAGAATCAGGGAATTATTCCCTGCAGCCACAAAGGCATCTTTTAACAAACTTGGACAGCTAGTTGTCCCTCATTGGCTTAAGTATTTTGTGCTAACCAAATGAGGCCAGCTGCCCTTATTCTAGAACCTTCCAACATGGTCTTATCCTATTTCATACTTACCCACCCTTCAAACAAACCCCTTAAGTTTTCCTTTTGTTCAATTGACCCCTAGAAATGTCTACTGATTTACAAATTAAGGCAAACACAAACAAGCAGGCTAATGTTAATGGACAAATCAAAGCTAGACAGTGGTTGAATTTTAAGCATCTGAACATCAAAAGATAAACCTAAGCCTTAAAAGGAACCCAGTTCATGATGAACTCCACAAGGCTCTTCGACTAACAGTTTTGATGATGACAACACAAGACGACTGAATAAAAACTAAACTTAGGCTAATTAGGCATTAATTAAACCAAACTATTTAAAAGTTAAACTAATTAGGCAATTTTAAGCATACTAACAAATCAAAACAGCAAAGATACCTAAAACTGATAATTAACTAAAC